CCGTTTACTGGGTGACACATGGGACCAGTAACTGGGGACACTGGGGGGCATTTAACTGGGAGACACATGGGAACCAGTAACTGGGAGACACCTGGGGAACCAGTAACTGGGAGACACATGGGGGACTAGTAATTGGGAGATACATGGGGACCAGTAACTGGGAGACACATGGGGACCAGTAACTGGGAGACACATGGGGACCTGTAACTGGGATTCACATGGACCAGTAAACAGGGGAGACATATGGGGGATTCAGTAACTGGGAGTACACTGAGGGACAGTATGGGAGACACCTGGGGACCAGTAACTAGGAGACACATGGGGACAGTAACTGGGAGGACACAAGGGGAACAATAACTGGAGACACATGGGGCCAGTAATAGGAGGACACATGGGGACCAGTAACGGGAGACACATGGGGACCAGTACTGGGAGACACATGGGGACAGTAACTGGGTGAAATGGGGGACCAGTAACTGGGGAGAACATGTGGGGGACCTGTAACTGGGGAGACACATGGACAGTATCTGGAGACACATGGGGGACCAGTAACTGGGAGACACATGGGGGACCAGTAACTAGGAGACACATTGGGGACCAGTAATTGGGAGACACATGGGGACTAGTAACTGGGAGACACATGGGGAACCAGTAACTGGGAGACACATGGGGGACCAGTAACTGGGAGACACATGGGGGACCAGGAACTGGGAGACTCATGGGTAACCAGTAAATGGAGACCATGGGGGACCAGTAATGGGAGGGACACATGGGGAACCAGTAACTGGGAGACACATGGAGGACCAGTAACTGGGAGACACATGGGGGACTAGTAACTGGGAGACACATGGGGAACCAGTAACTAGGAGACACATGGGGACCAGTAACTGGGAGACGCATGGGGACCAGTAACTGGGAGACACATCGGGACCAGTAACTGGGATACACATGGGGGACCAGTAACTGGGAGACACATGGGGGACCAATAACTGGGAGACACGTGGGGGACCAGTAATTGGGAGACACAAGGGGGACCAGTAACTGGGAGACACATGGGGGACCAGTAACTGGGAGACACATAGGGACAGTCCACTGGGGACAACATGGGGACCAGTAACTGGGAGACACCATGGTGGACCAGTAACTGGGGAGACAATATGGACCATTAATGGGAGGACACATGGGGGGACAGTAACTGAGAGACACATGGTGACAGTACCTCTTAGGAGACACATGGGGAACAGAGTAACTGGAGACACATGGGGACCAGTAACTGGGAGACACATGGGGAACCAGTAACTGGGAGACACATGGGGGACAGTAACTGGGAGATACATGGGGACCAGTAAACTTGGGAGGACACATAGGCGCGACCAGTAACTGGGAGAAACATGGCGACCATTAACTCGGGTGACACATGGGGGACCAGTAAAACTGGGAGACAACATGGGGGCCATTAAACTGGGAGACATCATGGGGACCATTAACTGGAGACACATGGGGAACTAGTAACTGGGAGACACATGGGGGACCAGTAATTGGGAGATACATGGGGACCAGTAACTGGGAGACACATGGGGACCAGTAACTGGGATACACATGGGGACCAGTAACTGGGAGACATATGGGGGATCAGTAAGTGAGAGACACATGAGGGACCAGTAACTGGGAGACACATGGGGACCAGTAACTAGGAGATACATTGGGACCAGTAACTGGGAGGACACATGGGGATTAGTAACTGGGAGACACATGGGGACCAGTAACTAGGAGACACATGGGGACCAGTAACTGGGAGACACATGGGGGACCAGGAACTGGGAGACACATGGGGGACCAGTAACTGGGAGACACATGGGGACCAGTAACTAGGAGACACATGGGGACCAGTAACTGGGAGACACATGGGGGACCAGTAACTGGGAGACACATGGGGACAGTAATGGAGATACATTGGGACCAGTAACTGGAGACACATGGGGACCAGTAACTGGGAGACACATGGGGGGCCATTAACTGGGAGACACATGGGGACCAGTAACTGGGAGACACATGGGGAACCAGTAACTGGGAGACACATGGGGGACTAGTAATTGGGAGATACATGGGGACCAGTAACTGGGAGACACATGGGGACCAGTAACTGGGAGACACATGGGGACCTGTAAACTGGGTTACATATGGAGGACCAGTAACTGGGAGACATATGGGGATCAGTAACTGGGAGGACTATGAGGACCAGTTATGGGAGAACCTGGGGGACCATTAATAGGTGAACATGGGGACCAGTAACTGGGAGACACCTGGGGACCAGTAACTAGGAGACACATGGGGACCAGTAACTGGGAGACACATGGGGACCAGTAACTGGGAGACACATGGGGACCAGTAACTGGGAGACACATGGGGACCAGTAACTGGGAGACACATGTGGGACCAGTAACTGGGAGACACATGGGGGACCAGTAACTGGGAGACACATGGGGGACCAGTAACTGGGAGACACATGGGGAGAACCAGTAACTAGGAGACACATTGGGGACCAGTAATTGGGAGACACATGGGGACTAGTAACTGGGAGACACTTGGGGATCCAGTAATGGAGAGATGATTCCCCGGAAGGGGCTACGACCCTGCAGGCCCCATTATTATTTTATTATTCATGGGAATCATTAAACTCTGTGAAGGTCAAACAATACTTGAAAAACCGAAAGTAATTAAGTTTGAGCTGAGGAAAAGGAGGTTTCTAGCCTGTCCAGTTGCCGGGGACAGGCTTCAAGCCTGGTCCAGAAACTGGCTCCTGAATTTAAACCCCACCAAATGCAAGTCATGAAGATGGGGAAGGCAGCTGAAGACCGCAGACACAGTAAAAGGCTAGGCGGACAAAGACTGCAAACCTGACACTCAAGGGAAAAGATCTTGGGTGAGAATAATACCGAGCACATCTCTGAGGCCACGTCAACCAAATAATTGCAGGCAGCATATGGGCGCTGCAAACCTAAGAATGCATTTCGACATCTCAGTAAAGGGAATCGTTCAAAACCCCCCCAATGTATGTCAGGCCCTATACTGGAATTATGCAGCACCAGTGTGGAACTTGTACCTGGTCAAGATTATTATTATTATTATTATAATCACGGTGGAGCGCTAAACCCAGAGGATTATACAGTGTTCTAGGGGGGGGGATGTGGAAGGCATCAGGCTTAATTCGGGGAACTGGAGCACAAATCCAATTCCTCCCCCCTAAATCAAGAGCCCATCACACATCGAAGGAACCTTATTGAGGGACCTGGTCAAGAGCGTCTAAAAAGTTATAGAAAAGTGCAAAAGTTCGCAACAATACTAGGTCCCGGACTAAGGGGTATATCCTACGGGGAGAGGTTTAAGGAAATCGACTGACGACACTGGATGACAGGAAGGATAAGGGGACATGATAACGACTTATAAAATACCTGAGAGAAATTGACAAGGTGAATAGGGATAGGATGTTTTAGAGATGTGACACAAAAACAAAGGGTACAACTGGATGCTGAAGACTCAGATGAGTCACAGGGATATTAGAAAGTATTTCTTGAGCTCATAGTGTTGTCAGTACGTGGAACAATCAGGAGAGTGACGTAGTGGAGGCAGGGGAAACACCAAACAAACAAAAAAAAAACACATGGGGGACCTGGGGAAGGGTTGGGGGGCCCAGCTTTTAACAAAAAACAAGCTTTTTTGGAATTAGGCCCAAAGGTTTACACTAATTTGGGGTTTTGGGGGTTAATCTTAGCAAAACTTCAAGCATGGGAATTGCAGGCTCTACGCTATTCTCCTCAGTGATTACCTTCATGGTAGATCTCTAAGTGTAGCCCTCAATGGAACGGAATCAGAAAGGGCATCCTATTGGGGCAAGCGTTCCACAAGGAAGCGTGCTGGGTCCATTGTTATGGAATGTCTACTTCAACGACCTTCTTCATCTCATCCCAGAATCACATGCATATGCAGACGACTGTACACTGACATTCACTTATCCAAGAGAAGAAATGCCACTGTCTAATCTACATCAATCACCAGCTGAGAGCTATATCAGCTTGGGGAAAATAGATGGCAAGTTACATTTGCACCTGAGAAAACGCAAATGATGATCGTCTCTAGGCACCATGATGGTAATGCTGGTGCAGTAGTAAGGATAAAAGGGAGGATGTTGGCCCCTTTGGAAAGAAGTTGATATCCTTGGGGTGAAATTTGACTCCAAACTAACCATGAAGAACCATGTTGTAAATCTTGCAAACAAGGCAGCCAGGAAGCTTCAGCACTTCGCCGTATCTCGCATCTGCTTGACAGTGGGGGTTTTGCAAGATTCTGTAACGAGGACAAGTACGCTCACACCTTGAGTATGCTCCACTTTCTTGGTTTGCCTGCCCCCCCTCTCATCTGCGACTGCTTGACAGAGTAGAGAACAGAGCAAGACGTCTCATCTCTCGCCTGGACCCATCCTGGATAGATCTGTCATTTCAGCAGAGCCTTAAACATAGGAGGGATGTGGGTGGCCTTATGTTATGTAAAAGGCCAATATTGTCAAAATACCACACTTGGATCCACTTCGAGGACAGCGTGAAACAAGCTTTTATGCCACAAGACGGGCAGAAAGCAGCAACTTCACTCTGGCTGTACCCTTCTCCAGAACATCACTCCATCTGAGATCATACATACCCAGGATGACTCGAGTATGGAACACATTCGTACAGCATAATGATGTCAACGAGATAAAGTCAGTTGATCAAATGAAAATGCTGGCCCACAGATGGCTCCAACTTCATCCTGTTCCCTACTTGTATGTCTCATAACAATAAAAATGCTTTCAAATGAGCTGATGTAGGTAACAGCTCTTAGCTTGCCAATAAAGTTAGGAATCCTTAACCTGTAATATAGCTGTCAATAAAGCTAGGGATCCTTAACCTTGTCAAACCCTGTGTAAAAAAAAAAAAAAGAGAGAGAGAGAGAGAGAGAGTACTCACCACGTCGTACCCCACATCGTAGTAGCTCCCACTGGTATACAGGATGGGAAGGGCATTCCGTCGACCCATGTCGGCTGGGGCAGGCATCTTCTCCAGAATGTGATGACTCTTGTGTCTACTGTGATTATTTTAAGTCTACTGGGGATACAATCGGCCAGCTGGTACTACACTAAGCCAGCTGGTACTATGCTAAGCCAGCTGGTATCACACTAGACCAGTTAGTATTGGAGTGGGATGTAGCAGAGTTGAACAAAGGCAGGAATGGCAAGTAGTTGATCGTTAGCAAGGACCGGGAGATGCAGCTCAGCCCTCGCAGGCACCGTTAGGTAAATGGGATATCTGGGATTCAACTAGAACATCTGGAAATAGAATTTTAAAGCAGGTGAGGATAGACGAATGTAATTGTACAAATATGTTCAGCTGAGAGTATGCTAATTAGTTGAAGACAGACTAAACCAGCTGGAGGTAGACTAAACCAGCTGGAGGTAGACTAAACCAGCTGGAGGTAGACTAAACCAGCTGGAGGTAGACTAAACCAGCTGGAGGTAGACTAAACCAGCTGGAGGTAGACTAAACCAGCTGGAGGTAGACTAAACCAGCTGGAGACAGACTAAACCAGCTGGAGGCAGACTAAACCAGCTGGAGGTAGACTAAACCAGTTGGAGACAGACTAAACCAGCTGGAGACAGACTAAACCAGCTGGAGACAGACTAAACCAGCTGGAGACAAACTAAACCAGATAGAGGCAGACTAAACCAGCTGGAGACAGACTAAACCAGCTAGAGGCAGACTAAACCAGCTGGAGACAGACTAAACCAGCTGGAGGCAGGCTAAACCAGATAGAGGCAGACTAAACCAGCTGGAGACAGACTAAACCAGCTGGAGACAGACTAAACCAACTGGAGACAGACTAAACCAGCTGGAGACAGACTAAACCAGCTGGAGACAGACTAAACCAGTGGAGAGCAGACTAAACCAGCTGGAGACAGACTAAACCAGCTGGAGACAGACTAAACCAGCTGGAGACAGACTAAACCAGATAGAGGCAGACTAAACCAGCTGGAGACAGACTAAACCAGCTAGAGGCAGACTAAACCAGCTGGAGACAGACTAAACCAGCTGGAGACAGACTAAACCAGATAGAGGCAGACTAAACCAGCTGGAGACAGACTAAACCAGCTGGAGACAGACTAAACCAACTGGAGACAGACTAAACCAGCTGGAGACAGACTAAACCACTGGAGACAGACTAAACCAGCTGGAGACAGACTAAACCAGCTGGAGACAGACTAAACCAGATAGAGGCAGACTAAACCAGCTGGAGACAGACTAAACCAGCTGGAGACAGACTAAACCAACTGGAGACAGACTAAACCAGCTGGAGACAGACTAAACCAACTGAAGACAGACTAAACCAGCTGGAGGCAAACTAAACCAGCTGGAGGCAGACTAAACCAGATAGAGGCAGACTAAACCAGCTGGAGACAGACTAAACCAGCTGGAGACAGACTAAACCAACTGGAGGCAGACTAAACCAGCTGGAGGTAGGCTAAACCATCTGGAGGCAGACTAAACCAGCTGGAGGCAGGCTAAACCAGCTGGAGGCAGACTAAACCAGCTGGAGGCAGGCTAAACCAGCTGGAGGCAGACTAAACCAGCTGGAGGCAGACTAAACTAGCTGGAGGCAGACTAAACCAGCTGGAGGCAGACTAAACTAGCTGGAGGCAGACTAAACCAGCTGGAGGCAGACTAAACTAGCTGGAGGCAGACTAAACCAGCTGGAGGCAGACTAAACCAGCTGGAGGCAGACTAAACCAGTTTGGGACAGAAAATAAGAGATGAATCAAGAGAAACGAAGACACAGGAGCCTGTGGCAGTGAGAGAGGAAACAGAGCCAAGCACACAGCTGTTCTGGTAGTGGGAGGGTGGGAGGGAGAAATGTAAATGTGTAGTGAAGGTGGTGATAGCAGTGATGGTGACAGCTGTGGTGGTGAGAGCTGCCGTGGTAGTGACAGCTGCGGTGGTGGTGATAGCTGCGGTGGTGGTGATAGCTGCTGTGGTGGTGATAGCTGAGCTGGCGGTGACAGCTGCAGTAGTGGTGGTAGCTGTGGTAGTGGTGATAGTTGTGATGGTGGTGATAGCTGCAGTAGTGGTGGTAGCTGTGGTAATCGTGGTAGCTGCGGTGGCGGTGATAGCTGCGGTGGTGGTGATAGCTGCGGTGGTGGTGATAGCTGCGGTGGTACTGGAGGTGGATCCTGCTGTCAGCTCACTTAACGTTAACCCTAGATGACCTGTTCCAGGAAAACCAAGAGTTGAATATACCATTTACTTATCACATAACATATCATAATGTCATATATATATATATATATATATATATTATATATATATATATATATATATATATATATATGTGTGTGTGTGTGTGTGTGTGTGTGTGTGTGTGTGTGTGTGTGTGTGTGTGTGTGTGTGTGTGTGTGTGTGGTTGTGGTGTGTGTGTGTGTATCATTGTTGTTTAAGATTGTGTACAATGGACACTACTAAATAGCTATCAAGCTTGTATATCCCAAAATTTGAGCTATATACAGTATTCCTTTCATGTTTCAAGAGGAAATTTCAACCCCTGCCACTTCGGCTTCAGAAAAAAATAAAAGGACTAATGATGCAATTGTAAAAATGCTAGATCTCCTTTACACAGCACTGGAAAATAAGGAATATCCATTAGTACTTTTTATTGGCCTCTGAAAAGCTTTTGACACAGTCGACCACGGCATCCTACTCCACAAACTTGACCATTATGCACTTGCATATTTCAAATCCTACCTTACTAATAGATATTAGTATGTCACCATTAAAGACACAACCTCATCAACACGGCCACTTGATGCTGGAGTACCACAGGGAAGTGTCATTGGTCCCCTTGGTACATCGATGATCTTCCCAACATATCATAACACCTGAAACCCATTATCTTTGCTGACGACACGACTTATGTCATCTCCCACCGAAATCTTGCCACCCTCAACACCGTTGTTAACGATGAGCTACTCAAACTATCTACTTGGATCACAGCCAATAAACTTACACTTAACACCGACAAAACCTTTTATAATATGTTTGGTAACAGAGCAGGTGTTGCACAACTTTACATTAAGATTGACAACACTCTTATTGCCAGACATAATGAGGGCAAATTCCTAGTCCTGCACCTCGACAGCAACCTGAATTTCAGCACCTATATTCAACACATACCAAAAAAAGTATCCAAAACAGTTGGGATCCTCTCCAAGATACGTTAATATGTGCCACAATCTGCCCTTTTCACACTATACCATTCACTCATTTATCCCTACCTCATCTATGCTATTTGTGCATGGGGATCAACTGCAGCAACACACCTAAAGCCAATAATAACCCAACAAAAATCCGCAGTAAGAATAATCATGCAATCTAATCCCAGGCAACACCCCCCCTCCACTCTTCATAGATCTAAGCCTACTCACTGTTCAGAACATCCACACTTACTACTGTGCAACCTACATTTACAGAACCTTAAATTCCAACATTAACCCTGACCTAAAACACTTTCTTGATAGTTGTGACAGGATCTACAGGCATAACACCAGACAAAAACATCTCTATGACATTCCCTGTGTCCGGCTAAACCTATACAAAAATTCAATGTACATAAAAGGGCCTAAAATCTGGAACACCTTTTCTGAAAACTCTAGAAGTGCAGACACATTCAGCACTTTCAAAACTACCATTAGAAAACATCTTATCTCCCTGACACACCCCACCGTCAGCTAACTACATGAAAACCGCTTGTTCTCTTATATCACACGCACACACAAAACAACCTAGACCTTCCCTCGATATCTGTGATTCCCCACAGTTCGCACCTACACTCACCCAATTGACTATAAACATAGAAATACATAATACAACTATAACCTAACGAATTTTAACTAGTCATAAGTCTGCCTGTGATTCTCCAATATAGGAGCTTCAATAGAAACTATATATTGTACCGAAACAAAACCATTCACATTGCTAAATTTATGAACTGTAATGCAGTTATTTAGCATTAATACCAATATGCTCCTTAATCTGTATTGAATTAATCTTAGTCTGCCCGAAATGCCTAGTCATGTTAGGTGTGATAGTGGCCCTCTCTATAATTAGTTTTATATATTATGTAAACCACACAGTATCCTATAATATGTAAACTCAACACTGTAATTTTTATAGAGAATAAACTTGAATTGATTTGAATTATGTTTCTTTCCATGGCAGAACTGTTTGGTACTATAATGGGGCAGCATCCCATTCCGTTGGATGATTACATGACTCCTGCCTTGTCCTGACTATTTATGTTAGCCTATTCTGTTTCCAGAAATTTATCTGTTTGACCAATATATGAAAAAGGACACTGAGTACATGGGACCTTTACCTGTTGGTGGGGTTTACAAGGTCCCATGTACTTAGTGTCCTTTCTCATATATTGGTCAAACAGGTAAATTTCTGGAAACCAGAATAGGCTAAAATAAATACTCAGTCAGGACAGGGTAGGAGTCGAATGCTATCTTTAACCACGTTAGTTCATGTAATCACCCACCGGACTGGGATGCTGCCCATATTAAAGTACCAAATAGTTCTGTCATGGAAAGAAACATAATTGAATCTTCCCTCTTGAAATAATGAAAGGAATACAGTATATAACTCAAATTATGGGTTATACAAGCTCGATAGCTATTTCGTAGAGTCCATTGTACGCAATCTTAAACAACAATGCTATACAAAATCACAGGATTGCTCATTATGCCAGGTGGCTTGATGGATTGGCGATGCCCGACCAGTGTCTACGCACCAAAACTTCATACCACGTCAGTTGTGAATGGTTATATAACCTGTTTAGCTGTTAGAGTACCATACAGTGACAAGCGCGCACAAGATTACGAGATAACATAAGGAGAGGTTAAAGTGTATTAGTAGAAATTAGAAATTTAGATCACAGAAATATTATCAGAAAAGCAGAGAAGATTCCCAAGTAAGGCATATTAACCGACACTGAGAAGAATAGTAGACAATACTTAGGAAGAGATACTTCTGAGTACCTCAGTAGAACATTCGAGTACCCCAAAGGAAGAAATTTAAACAGACAAAGAGCACATTCCATTCCTTTTTGTTATTTAAAAAGGTTACACAGAATGTAGCAATCCATGTGTATAGTATCCAACGAGAAATGCATTTTCTCAAACCATATGACCTGTTATAAACGACTAGAAAAAGCTAGGGGCTGGCTATTAATTCTTATAATTTCATACTTGACATCTCAGAAACCTCTTACCCCATATGGGGCAATAGGGGAATGGAAGTAGGGTGAGGTTGGCACTGACTACTGACCACATTCTAAGGGAAACCGTGGACGGGGACACATCCGCACTACGCTACCCTGAGAACTCTCCCTGCTTTAATTGCTCTCTTGCAATGTTACACAGCTCCTGGTGATGCACTGAGAAGTGTGAAAGTACTTGAGCTACAGATTTCCACCCCCCATGGCTTGTCTTGCATAGTTAAAATCGCCCGTCTGCGATTGTTTGCATATATATATATATAATATATATATATATATATATATACTATAATATATAATATATTATATATATATATATATATATATTATAATATATATATATATGTGTGTGTGTGTGTGTGTGTGTGTGTGTGTGTGTGTGTTCGTGCCGAATATTAAAACTGGTCAATTAGCAAGAACTCATTTAAAATTAAGTCCTTTCTAAAATTTTCTCTTATACGTTTAAAGATATGTTTTTTCCTTAATGTTAATGTAAAAATTTATAATTTTGCACCAAAAGAATCTTTGAAAACTTACCTAACATTATTATAACAA